TTTGGAGCAAGAAAAAAGAAAAGCAACCAAAATCGTCACTTATCCCCTTTTATGACTAGCTTCTTCATCTTTGATGTTGGACATCCATGTTAAGGTCAACTGACACCTGTCAAAACATGGTATCTGCTGACCAGTATCACATGACCATATCACAAGCCCAAGTTTAGAGCTAATAGTGGACAGGTTTTTTTTAAAAGTGACAGCTGCCCATGTGCTGGCTTTCCATTGGATCACAGTTACTAGTAACTTATTGTAATCAGGAGCTATGCTTTTAGGCTTGGCTAAATCTACATATTAAATTATTATTCATTCATTCCATTTTTGTGCGGGCAAATTAAGCTCACAAGAACTTGACAACTGAGAAGTTTGTCAGTCTACAAGAGTCATGTGATCAAAATGAATTCTTCTAAGTGGACTGGGCACTAGTTTAGAGCCTACAGATGAGAAGATTGGGTGCTAGTTTCACTTGTGTGAGTGGATTGTCTGCCTCCTTCATGTTGGCTTCACTCTTGTGTATCATTTATCTGTTTTGAGAGACTTCATTTTTATTTTCCCAACTTTCAGTCGCCAAAGTAGGTTTTGTTTCGTTTATAGCTTGTTTTGAGATGTGGCACTATACTTGCAGCACTAGAAATACACTTAAATAGTGTTTACAGTCCCCCAGTTTGGGAATCTCTGTTGAACCGGTCAAAGATAGGCTTTCATGACCATTTCGTGAATGCAAAGTATGCCTTATCATAAGAATCTGTTCTGGAATGTGATGCTAACAGTTGTTTTATTTACATGTATTTTATTTGCGAAAATTGAAACAAGCTGCTACACAATACAAAATGTGGAATGAAGTGATACTTTGGTTGACACGAATGATGTGCTACAATGTGTGTATTCCAAACAAACAAATGATGTGGAGGAAAATCTAAACCCTACAATTTTTTATGTCATTGATCCGACCATCATTTTCTGCGAATTACAGCATGCCTGAAATGGACATGCACCACAACTAAACATTTTATGATTTGAGAGAGAAGCTCTAAATGTAAACATTATCTAAAATTATTTGTGAGTGGCTTCCAGAATAACAAGCTTTTGTTTCAACAAACTTTTGCCATGATATCGTTCTGCCACAACACAGCTTCCCTGCAAAATGTCTCTTAATTTATAGCACATTAATATTTATTAAACGTTATTTTTAGAACTACATGTACATGGATAAAATTGGTACCTAGTGATTTTATGTAGCATGGTATTTTTATTTTGCATATAGTAAACCAAAGATCTTCTTGGATGTATAAAGCTCCCTTCCTCGAAAGATCTTTCACAGCTGAACATATTTCTCTTGAAAAAAAGGTGCAATACTGCAACAATCCTATTGGTACAGAGTGGGGTAATGGCGGTGGTAATGGATTCGCGTAAACAGACTACCTGTTGTCTAAACACACTAACAAATATAGCCTGCATTGCAGGTGTAAATGGGGAAGGGGTAGGGATCAGGTGGCAAAAAATGCAAGGGAGAAGTGGATGGAACAGTGCCCTATCCTGCT